CTGTGAGTTCAAGGCCAGCCTGGTCTACACAGTGAGTTCCAGGACAGCTGGGGCTACAGGGAGACCCTGTCACAAAAAGACCAAAAAAATTAAATAATTTAAAAAATAAAATAAATAAAATAATTAAAATAATGCGTGCTGCAGGGGCTAGAGAGATGACTCAGTGGTTAAGAGCACTGGCTGCCTTTGCAGAGAATGGGGATTTAGTTCTCAGCACACACATGGCAGTTAGCAATTGTAACTCCAGTTGCAGAGGGCCTGTGCCCTCTTCTAACCTCTGTGGGCATTGCACAACACGGATACACTTAGATACACTAAAATAATTAAAATAATGCGTGCTGCAGGGGCTAGAGAGATGACTCAGTGGTTAAGAGCACTGGCTGCCTTTGCAGAGAATGGGGATTTAGTTCTCAGCACACACATGGCAGTTAGCAATTGTAACTCCAGTTGCAGAGGGCCTGTGCCCTCTTCTAACCTCTGTGGGCATTGCACAACACGGATACACTTAGATACACTCAGGCAAAACACTCATAATAAAAATAAATACATCCCCTCCGAAAAACAAATTTTTAAGAGTACTGCAGAACATGGTAACAGAAATGCAGTGCTACAGGCTCCAAGTTTCAACAAAACTTTGAAAATATTTCTACTCTAAAAATTAGAAAATTTTAAGAAACTAATTTGATTCTATAGGTTGTATAGATTTCTATAGCTTTCTATAAGGAACTACACCCTCTTTTATTAATAATTAGAAATCAAGAAGCATAGCAAAACAAAAAGTGGCAAAATGAAGTTTAAAAAGTACAAAAGGTTGCTGAATGAAATTGTAAAGAACTTGGGTACATATGGGTGATTGCCAAAAATCAAACTTTCTCTAAGAGAACTAAGAGGTAACTAGAAATCAATAAAAAGTGAGAAAAAAAAAACAGTAGAAAAAAATCTAATATGTTATGTCATACTTAAGGAACTTAGGCACAATTTACTGAGGAAATAACTAATAAAAATGACATGGAATGACTAGATGTAAGACTAGAATAGAAAGGCTGGAGCGATGGCTCAGTGGTTAAGAACACTGGCCTCTTCTGTCCTCCGCGGACATTGCACGACACGGGTGCACTTACCTACATGCAGGCATAACAGTCGTACACTTAAAATAATAAAAAAAGAGACTAGAATAGAGACTCAACCTAAGGTGATTTGGTATTGTGGGAAATTAGGAGAAAATGAGAAGAAATAAAAGCCAAATCCTGACTATGGCCGCCCGTTTTCTGATGCTATAACAAAAATATCTGAATTTGTCTCCTTTATTTTTTTAAAGTCTCCTTGGTTGAAAGCATTGGACACTGAAAATCCAAAATCAGGTGACCTAATCAGACTTCTGCCACTGGAAATGTTAGAAGAGCCTCAGGCCGTGTCCGCAGACCTTCAGAACAGGGAACGTGGAAGTGGAAGTGAAACCAAGTTGTGTGATACCCATGAGGATCTGCAGTCAGATCATGAGTGTGTCAGTCTTGACCGCACCTTCAATCTGTGTGCTTTGACATGTCATTTAAATGTGTTGCACCACAGTTGTCTTCATGAAATGAAGTAATGAACAAAAGGTACTAAGAACACTCATTGGGTTCTGTTTTATCTCAGATTGTGGG